TACCAATGGTTTGTTCCTGCTGGGGTCAGTGTATTTCTTTACAAAACTTAAAAGTTGAGCTGCAAAGCACCACCACCATTCAAGCCCAAAATTGCTCCCAACTCATAAGTACATACGTTTGCCTAATTAATTTGAGGCATTTTTAAAAAAGGGTAAATCAACAGTGAATATTTACAGAAGGCAACTCAATAAATGCTAAATCATTCTCTGGTGGCCAGCAAAATATTCTTGCTTAGCTTATCTAAGAAATAACCCTCTTGTAATGGTAATCATTGTACATCTGTGAGGTTTTGGGAGGACACTTATTGCTGCCTCATTTTTATTTCATCAGTGAAAATTATTTACTGATTGAGTGACCAAAGTAAAACTGCCTCCTAAACAAGAAACTAACAAACCAAAAAAAACCCCTCAAACAAAGCACCCGCTCAAACTTCATGCCGCACAGCTGATATATCTCTGAGCTCAACGTCAAACAGGCATTCTAAATGTATATAAGATCTATAAATTTATCCATCCCACTCTGAAAGATTTAGAATATTTCAGTGTGGTACAGAATCCATTAATATTAACTGATTTTTTGTTATCTTTTATAAACTAACACTGACATTCTGTTTTATAGCCATAACTACTGAGAAATCCAAGGATTAGTTAAAAAAAATCTCTAAATCTCTTCCTGACATAATATGACAGTAGGATTTAAAATCTCTTTTTCCTCCCTTGAAACCAGTGAGGAGGTCTTTGGTGACCCCACCCCACATTCTTCTTCACCAAAATCACAGGGTGTGAATAGCAAGTTACTGAAACGCAGCTGATGGGGGCAAAGCCTCATTCCAGTTTATCTTGGTGTCAATAGTTTGTGTGTCTATACATTTAGTTCTAAACAGACAACAGCTTCATTCTTTTTTTGGACTGGGAGAACAAATTCCATATCTTTGTAAGATGGTTTTGTACACCTTTCAGGTGTTAATCCTCAAGTAAACATGCAACAAGCACTGATCTGAAAGAGTACCACTGGGAACTTATTCCCCGCTCTGTTGTTCATTCTGCGTTTCTCTTCTACTTTTTCTGAGAGACCATTCTGATATTCCCCAACACTAATAAGTCTAGACTTTAAGACTGCCTATGTTTAAGACTAGACTAATTAAATTTACCACAATTTCTTCAGATAACAGGAAGTGTCATAATTTGGAATTTTCACCTTTGTATACAGTGTTTAGAGTTGATTATTTATTGAGAGTTTGAACCTTTGGAAGACTTTCAACTGTTGCTGTGATGCATCTTCCAGGATTACTTAAGACAATGATGCCAAAGGTCTGAACTGATAACTGCCTGAGAGATCCTGTGGGTCACTTAACCCATCAGTCATGATTCTAGTTGATGAAAATAATAGGGTAGGATGTGTCCATGATGATCAGTATTTAAATAACTGAAAATTACTATGAAATGTTAAACATACAAATTACTTCAAACTTAACAAATTATTTTCTATTCCAAAACTGTAAGATTATTAAGCTTTTTCTTTGCTTTGAACAGGGGTGGACAATTATTTTGGCCGGAGTGCCATTTGACAAGTTTTGGTAAGCTGTTGAGAGCTTCACACATACATTCTTTCAGCAGATATCATTTTAATAAATTACAGATAAAAAACAATTCATATAGTAAAAATCAAACATCAACTAAAACATATTTTAATTATATTAAAAATATCTTGATGTTTCTGAGTAGTATATATAGAGGCAATTGCATAATAGCACAAAATAAAGTCTTATTCTTATATGTTATGTGCGGGTGTGGCAGGTTGAGCATGTGGGTGTCTGGGGTGTGGAGCTGTGTGTGACGGTATGTGGAGGGGTGGGCATGTGGGGTGGGGGCATGAACATGTTTGTGAGAGGCTGCCCGTGCACCAGGCCCTGGAAGCCAGTCAGATGTGAGTGGAGAGAAGGGGGATGGAGGGACAGGGAGCATGTGCAGCAGAGCTCACCTGGGCATTGCAGTGTATGTGTGGTCCTCCTCCCCCCCAATCTGGCCTGTGGCTGCCCCCACAGCGCTCTATGTGGGGCCGAGCCCTGCCCACTCCCGCCTGGGGCAGCCTGTGCCATATTCCCGCCTGCCCTGCCTCTGACCAATGCACACAGCTTTCTGGTGGGGCTCCTACCAGAGGAGCTGCAGCCACCCAGGTACTGCTCAGCTCCCCCGACCTCCAGTGGCTTCTCCTCCTGCCCCAGCTGCTCTGCTCTGGGCAGCAGGCAGTGCAGGGAACCCGTGGGCATGTACACTAGCAATGCCCACCCATGTGGTGGGAAGCTGCAGCCAGGTGGCTTTTCCCCAACTAGTCAGGCTCTAGCTTCAGCTCTTGGCCCCTTCCATCCACTTGGCCACTTGCAGGTGGCCACTCATTGTGCCAGAGAGGCAGAATAGATGGAAAGCAGCCAGGAGCTGGAGCTGGAACCCTGTGTGCTGGGGCAGGAGCTGTCCGGCTGCAGATTCCCTCTACCTGGCTGCGCATCTTTTGCCTAGTGCGCATCCCCATGGCTTACCCATGCTGCCTGGAGTGGCGCAGCAGGAGCAGGAGGAGGAGGAGGAGCCGAGCAGTACTCAGGTGGTTGTAGTCGCACCAGAAGCAGCCCTGCCGGATAGTCGTGCGCGCTGGCTGGGGCCAAGCCAGGCAGGAGCATGTCGTGGGCTGCCCCGGATGGGAGCAAGTGGGGCTTGGCCCCACGCAGAGCACTGTGGGCCAGATACAATCAATTTGAGGCCATGTGCCCACAGGCCAGAACCAATCAGTTGGTGGGCTGAATACAGCCTGGAGTCCATAGTTTGCCCACATCTGATTTAGAAGCAGAAATACTGGCTTTAAAAAGTAACTCCAACAAGACAGACAGATAAGGTTTAAAAAAACCCGCAGTGTTATCTGTCAAGAATAAAGCAACATTTTAAATTAGAAGTTTAGAGGTAACCCCCCCCCCAACAGCAAATTCTGCTATTTAATGCTATATAATAGGGGTTTTCAATCTTTTTAAAGATGCATACCCCTTCTGAGTACACTTCTGGAGGAGTGGGGGGAGTGGCAGCAGCTGGATGCGAGGCGGGGGGTAGGAGGGGGGCTTGCACACGGCAGTGGCATGGGGTGGTGGATGGCAGTGGTGGCCGCCATGTGCAAGCTCCCCCCCCACCATGTCTGGCTGCCTGGGCAGCACCTGGACAGCCTGCAAAGGACAGCTGTTGCCCTCGCCCCCGGGTCCTGCTCTTGGGAGGTGGAGGGTGGCGGCACTCCATCACTGCCTGCCTGCGTGTACTCCTGGGGGTACGCATACCCCTGACTGACAAACCCTTGCTATATAAGATAAAGCAAGACTAGGGAAATCAGACAAAATAGGATGCTCTAGATATACTGTCAAAATATTACATATTGGATTGGTGTTCCAGCCTGGCCTTTTTAATAAGATAGCAAATCAGCCACAGACTGAATTCTACCACTTAAAATGCAAAATAAATTTCACTAATTTTGTTTTTGGAAAAAGCCAAAGGTATGCCTTGCCGAATAATGAATGGAGAGAACTTATGTTTGTAGGTCACTAGCTACTTGAGCTTTCTATGAATGACTATTTTTGTGCTCTTAGGACTTGGTTGGAATATTAATGATTTGTTAAGGATCCCTAAGCCTTGCAGAGGAGTTTTATTTAAAGCAAAATAATCCACCAACACATTAAAGTTATCAGTAAGGACCTGCAAATATTTATGAGGTCAGAACAGAAGAATCAAATTAACAATGTAAAACAAAAATTATAGAATGATTAAATCAAATTATATTTTAAACAATAAAGAACCTTGGAAAATAATAACCTTACAGAAAACAGGGACAGCAATTTTGGCAACAAAAAGTAACATGCTTTTTAACTGTATACAAAGGCATCATATTCTACAGAAGGGACACAGTAATTCCACTTAAACACTATGCTTTAAAATGTGCCAAAATTCAAGCACATGCTTAACTTTAAACACCCAAGTAGGATTATTCATATGCTAGAATTGAGCATATAGATCTACAGTTTTTCTATGATCTAGGTCTAGGTGAGATTGGTCAGTGTTTTATTTTTTTTAACTACCATAAATTCTGGACATTTTACTACCAGAAATATGGTGAATAAACAGAATGAAGGATGAAGGGATTAATTTATGGAGAAAGACCAAGTGAACTAACCACTTATATTTTATCCAAAATATTTTAGTAAAGAAATAAAATTGGTTATGGTAACTAAGAGACACTAATGAGCAAAGTATGGAATAACCAAGTGGTAATATGATGAACTAAGAACGTAATTTCAGAATGAATATTTGGAACAAATCTTCATAATTTTCATAATTTTACATTGTAAAACAGTCTTTCAAAGCAAATAGTAATTCCCATAGTTTGGCACACTGATATTGTATTGGTTGTACAATGCAAGGAAACACGTGACAAATACATATAATTTTAAATTGTAAAGAAACTGACAATTATATAATACAAGTAGTACTAAAATACTAGTAACTAGAAATAAATTTTCACTTTAGACAAGACCCTATGTTAGTAACATACAGTTTTTTCCAGACCATTAAAATATTTTGCCATTTCAGAAAAAATTTATAATATACAATTTTCAATATGAACATTTTGTGTTATACACTAGACCTAAAATGACTTGTTTTTGATACTGCATGATGCACTACAGCTATTTTGCTATGTGCGTGTACTTTCCACTTCATATTAATTCAACTTTCTTTTAAAATAAATTACCATCACAACTGTTTTATTTATGGGTTAACATGCTTGGAGGTCTTGAAGCACATGACAACATATGAATAAAAGCATAGCCTGCTCAAAAGGCAAAACA